GAAAACACCAGCGTTTGTTACTTGTTTGGCTGTAATTTTCTTCAGCCAAGGGAAGACTTCTTTGTTTTTGTTTTTTAAGCTGGGGGAAAAAAGAATTAGAGCGCGCACTTGGAAGGAAATGAATGTTAGTGGAGGAAGGCATGGGGAAGGCATGGAGTGTGTGCACCCCCATTAAAGTGAAGAGAGAGGGGCACCCATCTCCACCCCAGGAGGGGCTGGGAGGAACGGAGTGGAGTGAGTTTCCTTCTGAGCCCTCTGTTTGTATACAAGCATAAAGATCTGTACTTCTAGAAGTGAACTGGAAGCTTCTTTAATTGGAGCCCACCGCTGACACGAAGTCCCAGCGGAGGGAGACTTTTCCCTCAGAGGCTAGGACGCCTGCCCGCTGCACCAGCCGCCCTCTCTGGTGAGAGGGGTCCCTGCCCACTCCCTGGGGTGGGGGGGGGGGGGGGGGGGGGATGGTCTCAAATACCTCTTTCCTTGACCTCCTGCAAACAGCACCACTCCTTCACAGAATTGCCGCTCCCTGAGGAGAGTCTCAGAGAAGCCAGCCCCGTTGGCCCCAGGGCGGCCCCACGAGCCGCCCCCAAGGCCCAGCGGCTCCTTGTCCACGTCCATTCGGGGGCTCCCTGGGGGCTGGAGCCTGACCCTCCCATCGACACGCTTTCCCGCGGTCACTCTCAGCCAGACGCTGACCGGAGCGGCCAGTCCTGGGGGCTGACCAGTAAGGACATTTACTCAGTCTCTTCTGTTCTGTACCCCCACTGCATAATCTATTAGCAATGTATATTTAGCAATATATATCGCCATGTTTGTTTTTAAGACCCCCCACCCCAGATCCCTTCAGTCACTGAATAAAACCGATGTTGTAGGAAGAGGGTCACGTTGGGTCTGTGCAGCCCGGTCCAGGAAACACGGCAGCTGAAGGTGGTCCGCAGGCCTCCCCAGCGGGAAACTTTCCGTCTAGTTCAGTATGCCCATCACCCATTCAAATGTTCATAGATCAGACAGGTATTTAAAATTATAGTTTATGATGCGATACTGTCTTCTGCCCTGTGCATGGAGAGAAATGAAGACCTTGTGCTCTCCAAACCCTACAATTTTTCTCTAATGCCCTGTTTTCCAAGTACTTAGGTAGTGTGTTTTTCTTCTATAGTTTTCTCTTCCTCCTTCCTGGATTTGTTTTTGCTGCAGAATAATGCTGCTTTGTGGTTTTGCTCTGGGGTCTGTTGTGCTGTGTCTCATAGCCCATCGCTCCAAAATTTGTCCTGGATCCCAGATCCCATTCCTACACCTGCCATGGCAGGGAAATGTCTCTGCCTGTAGGTTCCAGAACAACGGAACTACTACTCCTGAGGGCTCTGGAGGATTTCAGGGTTTCCTTGGTCACAGGAGACAACCCTTCTTGGTTCTTGAATACCCTTAGGTTTATCAGTCTGGCTGTCTTATTCTCTCCAGGGCAGCTCATCCTAATTTCAAGGGAAGAATTTAAGGAGAAGTAAAGTGCTGGGGCTGTGGGGCCCGCAGACCATAGCAGGGGACCCCCCCCCCCAAGCTGCAGACCCTTGAACACCCCCTCACCCTGGTGGTATGTTAGCATAGCTGGTGCCGGGTGCCCCCAGCGAGCCGCTCGGTTCCACGTGTGTTTAACGTGCAGAAGCATCTTCTCTGTTTAAACCTTAATAAAGTTGAGTGTTGCCAGTCCTGAGTGTCCTGAGTGTCTTATTACTAGGAGCATGGGTGATGCTCTGCACACATGCCCAGCAGAAGCAGGAAGAAAGACATGAATTCAGGGGATCTCACTGCATCCACACTTTCCAACCAGCAGACCCGAAGCTGTATATAGAGTTTGGGTATGTCGTCTTGCAGGTCGTGAGAACAAAGGTCCAGATCAACCCAGTTACGTTCCCCAGGGTACAAAGGACAAAACCACTGAAGCTGCTGGTGTCTGTTCCAGCGCTTTCCCTGTCCTGGCCTCCCGTGCTTCTTAGGTTGATTAATTCAGACGTGAAGCAGGGTGCAGGGGTCCCGGTTATCCTAATTGCAGTGATGACTTTCTGGAGCCTCCTGGGGTGTGTAGACGAGGGTCCCGCTCCCATATCTGACCTGTCTCTCGTGGCCAGGGGAGACTAAGACGAGGCCTTCTTTCTGCCTTCCAACCACAGGTGTTGTCAGGGTGTCCTGCTATCCCATCCTATCTGTTTCAGCAACACCTCTCTCTGCCTTGGGTCTGGCTGTTTCCTTAGCCTCACGGTGTGACCAGGCATGTTTTCTAACACTTGTACTTTCCTCTGTGGCCAGTAGGTGGTGACTCAGTGCCAGCAATGGCATTATTATTATTATTTGTTTAATTGTTAGGAAAAAAAATTTTTTTGAAGGAAATTGAAACTCTTAAACTTTGCCTGAAGATCCCAAGTTTGTGAGTCTTTGACATTCAAGGTTAGATGTGGAACCAAAGTTTATGATCCTCTTTCAACAACCTGACCTAAGATGGGAGCTCCAGGGGGAATGGTAGTTTCAATCGTTTGAGGTTCTCTAGGTCTTTACCCATTAAAGCTATTTGCACAATAACATGAGGATCTTCTTTGTTCTTTGGGTTTCTATTTGCGTCTGTTTTATTAACCAGCCAGAGAGAGTCACTTCCCCTTATCGCCCTCTCCTTCCCCCGACAGTCCCAGACGTTTTATTCTGACTCCCCTAACCCACGCCGGGTAGTGACACGTTGCGCTCTGAGTGTGTTTTGCCTCATCCACATGCATCCGTCCTGCGGGGCTGGGGGCTCTCCCTGGAGCTCTGTTAGTGGCCTCTGCCGAGCACCTGTCTTCAAGTAGCCTGTGGTTTCCAGGGCTTCACTCAGAGGAATGTGGGGGCCTTTTAACTTTGCATTTCCATCAAAGGAGCCCTCCACTGCTTCAGTTCATTTCAATAATACAGCTGTCCGGAGAAAAGCTTGTTCTGCAAGGGGGGAGGGGATGAAACCAGCAGAACTCCGACCAGAGCTGCAGTTACAGGGGTCTTCCTTACCACTGTCTTCCAGCTGCCTTCTCCCCCAGAGGGCTAAGGTGCACATCTACCTAAGACAAAACCTGCCCCTTTCACAGGCTGAAATCAGGAAATCTGTGACTTACATTTCTGTGATCTGAGTTTATTGAACTGGTCCAGGGACCAGACATTGTCAAAGAAATCAGTGCCCCCCTCCCCACCACTACCCCTACCGCTGGAATCAAGCTTCTGGGCTTTAGATTCTCTTTCTTTTGTGAGTTGAAACTATTCCTTTAAGAACTTCTAAGTTGAGCAGTTCTGACCGCCTCTCTAGAGAGAGAGAGAACTACGACCACATTTGCTTCAAGGAACTGTCAGCACATAACCCAACAGCAAGCCTTGCATCATCAGGTTTATTCTTAGATTTGGGGTGTCAGTGATAAGAACTGTCAGGTAGCAGCCAGGGATATGAGTTACATCTCAGGAGCAGTAAGAAAGTCTAAGAGAAGCGGAAAGCGGCATTGCTTAAGTAACATACTTGTGTGAACTGGTCTGGGAGTGAACTCTTAAAAAAATTTTTTTTATTGGAATATAGTTGATTTACAATGTTGTGTTAGTTCCAGGTATACGGCAAAGTGAATCAGTTATATATTTACATATATTCACTTTTATTTTTTTAGAGTCTTTCCCCATGTAAGTCACTAGAGTTTTAGTAGAGCTCCATGTACTATAGAGCAGGTCCTTATCAGGTATCTATTTTACACATAGCGGTGTGTATATGTCAGTCCCAATCTGTGTCAGCATCTTCTTGACCCTCATTCCTCTTTTACCTTGGAGTTCCTGTCCGGGGTGTCTCCCCACCCACTCCCCTCCCGTGAAGATCTTCCCCCAGCCTCGCTTGGTCCATCACTTGCCTAACCTCACGTGTCTGCGGCTCCCTGCTGCCAAGAGAATTAAGTCCAAAGTTCAGTTTAGCATTCAGAGTGCTGTCATTAATTCCAACCTATGTTCTTCTTCATGAACGTCACTTTGGACAAAATATAACTCGGTTCTTCCCCACACTCCCCTGCCTTTCTTGCCCCCTAGATCTGTAGATTTTCATGCAGTGGTAGCTCCTTGCCTCAGGAACTACAGTCAATATCCTGTAATAAACCATCATGGAGAAGAATACGAAAAAGAATGTATGTATGTGTATAACCAGATCACTTTGCTAGGCAGTACAAATTAACTCGACTTTGTAAATCAACTATTCTTCAATAAAGTTTTAAGAAAAACTTTAAAAAGAGTGCCTTTCTCATTCCACCAGCCCGAATCTTGCTCAATTTTTTAAAAGCCTATCCAATTCTATTTTTTCCTTAAGTTTCATTCTTTTTTGGTCTTGGGTACAGCACAGGAGATCTTCATTGCTGCGTGCAGGATCTTTAGTTGTGGCATGTGGGATCTAGTTCCCTGGCCTGGGACTGAACCCAGGCCCCCTGCATTGGGAGCACAGAGTCTTAAACCACTGGACCACCAGGGAAGTTCTTTTCTTAAGATTCTTAAATCCTTCCTGAGCTGAATTTCAGCAAAACTTTCTGGCAAACCATTTTGTGGTTCATCTCCACCCTGCCTTGTTATTTCTCTGAATCCCCATTTCCCTGTCAAACCAAGAGTTCCTTTCTTTCCTTTTCCCTCTTATAGCACTTTGAATGTGTGCATGCTAAGTCACTTCAGTTGTGTCCGACTCTTTGTGACCTTACTGACTGTAGCCCGCCAGGCTCCTCTGTCCATGGGATTTTCTAGGCAAGAATACTGGAGTGGGTTGCCCTTTCCTACTCCAGGGGATCTTCCCAACCCAGGGAACCAACTCTCCTCTCATGTCTCCTGCATTGGCAGGTGGGTTCTTTACCAAGAGCACCACCTGGGGAGCCAATGAAAGGAAATATTCCCAATGATTCAAAGAATGTGGACGAGAGTAAGGAATAAAGGCTGTGAAGGTACTGTGTGTAACAGAAAGTTTCCACTCTCATTCAGGAAAATATGTGAAAAATATATCAGAATTTATTGTTCCAATACAGTATCATACAGGTAGTGGCGACAGAGTATAAACAAAAATGAACTGATATAAATATGCTAGAGCCTAGTTTATCAGTTATTAAAATGATACGTGTCTCCTGGGTCTATGATGAAACTTATAAAGAAAAAGAATTACACTGTACACAAATAGGATTCCCTCCAAGACCTGCAGTGGGAGAAAAGGAAAGCCCAACACTTGACTTAAGGGCTGGAGTCGAGGAACATGATCTGGCCAGCTAGCCCATCCCTTGGTAGGAGGTTCCTGCTGGGCTTCCTTGTGACTATAAATAGACATTCTATTTCTAGTAGAATACATCTAACCCTTCTTTCCTGAAGGCTTGAGTTATCTTTGCCTACTGAGACATGCTTTCATCTTTGTGGTCCCCTTTCCAAAGATGCTCTCATGCATAGAGGAAGAAGCGGGCTTCCACCCTGGGGAGTGGTCTTCCACGAGGGACTGGCGTTAATCCACCTTCCCGTCTGACAGTACGTTTCAGCCCTTAAGCCCTGAAAACTTCCAAAATGGAAAAGTACCTGTGAAACTACATCCTCCCTCCACTTCCGCTGTGTGAAGAAGCCCCCGCCGTGGTGAGTCTTCAGAGATGGGAGAAGCGGGGTCTCTGTGACGTAGGGGAAAACGGGGTGCCCCTGGTCACGGTCGCGTGTTGTCTCGAATCCAGTCCAGGTAGTTAGTCACCTTGGTGTACACCCCCGGGATGTCCTTCTGCCCGCAGCCCAGGCCCCAGCTGATGATGCCGACCAAGGTCATGTGGCTGTCCTTCATACACACCAGGGGGCCGCCCGAGTCACCCTGCAGAAGGGGGAAAGAGGTCAGCTGCGTGCAAAAATGCAGACTCTTTGGGGGGATGTTAGGGTGAATATTTGTAGTGCTATATGTATTTTACATACAGCTAATATGTGGCACTAATATGTATCCTTCAACGTGCTCAGTTTCAGGGAGGGAAATTTTACCTCCTCAATCTTGGACCATTAGGGAATTAGGTTGTAGTTTTTTTGTAAAGTGGACTTGAGCTCAGACATTGCTGACAAGTGCTCAGTTGTGTCCAACTCTTCGCAATCACATGGACTGTAGCCCGCCAGGCTCCTCTGTCCATGGGCTTTTTCCAGGTGAGAATACTGGAGTGGGTTGCCATTTCTTTCTCCAGGGGATCTTCCCAACCCAGGGATTGAGCCCTGGTGTCCTGTGTCTGCTGCACTGGCAGGCAAATTCTTTATCACTAGCGATACCTGGTCCCCACTGGATTGTAAAGTCACCACTAACTGCGCGGCCCTAGGCAATTGGACTTCAGTATTCTTACCTGAATGATACTAAATAATAATGATCTAAAATAGAAATCATAGTACTTCCCTTATGAGGTTATGGGAGTTAACTGGAAGAAAGCTTGAAAAGCTCTTGAGAACAATGTAAGGCTCTTAGTAGAACTCTTGGCAATTGTTAGCTGTTATTGTCTTATTGAATCAAAATGACTTGTTTTTAACTTGACGCTAGCTGATAGATCATGGTTTCACTTTGCACGCAACCTTTTATGACTGTCGAGCTAGGTGGTGGAGGTGTTTGAAAAAACCCTGCAAAAAGAGACCAGAGGCTGTCATGGAGGCAAGAGGGGGAGATGGGGGTGTGATCCCCGCATCAGAACTGAGCCCACGGCCCTCAGTGCAAGACCCCAGCCCTACTGCCTCCAGCCATGCCCCCGTCTCCCAGCCTCAGTGAGAGCACAGTGGACGTGCAAACAGCCCCGAGTTGAGGGTTCCTTTGCTCCATTAGGTCCTACCTTACACCGGTCCATGTCTCACACTCAGAGTTATCATGAGATACAAGTACGTACCAGCTCTGATGGGGACGCCAACCCAGAGACCCTGTAATAGTGTGCTTTCCCGGGGGAAACCTCATCAGAGGGCTGAATGCAAGTTCCTAAAATTTCTTTCTCACAGATCATCTCTCTCCTATTTCCAGGAAGCTGCTGTTCCTCCACTGCTACCCAAGAGACCCTGATTCCCCAGCACCCACAGAAGCCAAAGCTGTCTTAACTTGTGTGGCTTTGTCCATCACTTTGATAGCCATTTAATTTTCTAGGCTTACAGGAAATCCTGTACCAGGCGGGGGTTCCGGTGCAGACACTGGGGAAATTTACTGCTGTTTAGATGTCTTCAGTTTGGGTGACTTTGATCTTGGCTCCAGCTGCTTTATTCTCTGAGGCTTTCATCTAGATCCCATCCCCCGCACCCAGATGAATCACTGCTTGGCTATAACCTTTTTTTCCCTTGGTTAAGAACCAGTTGGCCGAGGAACACTTTTGCCCCTGGATAGGGGAGGCTCAGGAGAGGAGGGCCGCCCTCGCGTACCTGGCAGGCATCGTGCAGGTTTGTGTGGTCCCCACCGCTCCGTGTGTCTCCGGCACACAACATGTTGTTGGTCACGGTCTTATTAAACAAGTGGCGGGAAGTGCAGCGGCTGGCTGGGTAGAGCCGGACATGAGCCTCCTTTAGCCGCTCCGAAAAGAAAGGAGACCCTGGAAAAGAGCAGGGAAGACAGCTTGTGGCTTTACGGGAAGTTATCTAGAAACCTTTTGGAAGGAGAAACCTGAACTTTTCAATGATAGCTAACGTTGATTAATCTTTTACATGTATTAAATTGAATCCCACGGAATTGCCCATATTTTAACCTTTTGACCTAGAGAAATGGCAGTTTCACCCAGGTGTTTCTCAAGAGCAGCAGAAGTGACATACATTTGGGGCCAGGTAATAGTTTTTGCAGGGGGCTGCACTGTGTATTGCAGATGTCTGCCAGCACCCCTGGCTTCTGTGTGCATGCGTGCTTAGAGTCATGTCTGACTCTTTGCGACTGCATGGACTGTAGCCCACCAGGCTCTGCTGTCCAAGGGATTCTCCAGGCAAGAATACTGGAGTGGGTTGCCATGCCCGTCTCCTGGGGATCTTCCCGACCTAGGGATCAAACCAGGGTCTTCTGCAATGCAGGCAGATTCTTTACGATCTGAGCCACCAGGAAGCTTCACTGGCTTCGATCCACTAAACGTGGGTATAAACCTTCATCCTGAGTCGTCACAATAACTGACATTCCCACATGTTGCCTAGCGGGCAAGAGCACCCTAGCTGAGAACCACTGGTTTAACCTAATATCTCATTTAAGCCTCAATCTATTCACTTCTTACCAATGAGGAAACTGAGGCTTGGAGCAGCATGAAATGAAAAATCCACGCCTGGATCACAGGGCTCACCAGGTGCAGAGCGAGGGCTACCAGGTGGCAGGCAGAGCCCAGGAACCACACCCTTAACTAAGCTTGCTCCACGTCTTACCAAAACCTCCTTGAAATCTTCAGCCCTTAAAGCCCTCCTGCCACTTAGACCTCTTTCTCGACCGACCGGGACATTGGCTGGGAAGGTGGATGGCGGGGCTTCACTTAGCAGGAATCTGCCCAGGCTATCATAGCGGCGGAGCCTGCCCCAGGGCTGGCCTGGACACTCTCAGGACGGCTGTTTCCTCTCTCCGTCAGCACCCGCCCCCCACACTGCCCCCAGACAGACAGGACGGCACAGCGACTTCCTCCCACTCACAGGCCTCGTGTTTCCCATAGCCGGACAGCTCGCACTCCGTCCAGTCGGGCAGCTGCAGGCTGGCGTCTGGGAGGCAGATGGTGCGGACGGAGCTGCTCTCCCGGGCGCAGGTCAGTGAGTCCGATTTCAGGTGCAGCAGCGCTGGGAGAGAGGGATTGAGGAAGAAAGTGGGGATTTCCGGGGAGAGGAGGGAGGGGCCAGGGGCCTGGGAGGAGGAGGTGGGCGGTGTGGGTCTGGGGGAGTCTAACTGGAGCCAGGGAGAGCCGGACATCTTACCGATGTCATTGTCGTAAGTGTCATCATCAAATTCCTTGTGGATGATGTATTTTTCTACTTCAAACATCTGCTCCTCCTCTCCAGGGACCAGCCGGTATGTCCTGCCCAGGACCACCTTGAGATGGTGAGTCAGGTACCTGATGGAGAAACAGACGTGAGGATGCTCTTCTGTATCCGGCCTGGTCCGAGGCCTTAGTGGGAAGGCCGGCCCCCTGGGCACACATCCCTACCTCTCCTGGAAGCAGTGGGCGGCCGACAGCACCCAGCAGGAGCTGATCAGGATCCCCCCACACAGAAACCGCTCTCCCGGGGACCGCCTGTTCTTGACGAAGATCGCGGCCTGCCAGGGGTGGGAGGTGATGTCGGCGAAGAGGCCTCCCTTGATGCGGAACTGGGGCCGCTTGTACTCTCTCAGGCCACAGGTGACTGCGGAGGGCAGGGCGGAGTGGGGGGTCAGACCTGCAGGCGTGGGCGAGGTCCCCAAGCCCCAGCCCAGTGTCCCGTCTGGGAACCCGGGTTTCCACCCACGGCTGTGCTTCTGTGGCGTCTGTACAGAGTGACTGGAGCCTCTGCTTCCCTCCTCCTCGCATCCCGGCCGCCATCACTACTACATCACTACTACAAGGCATCTCCAGAGAGCAGCCTGGAGCCCGATGCCATCCATGAGAAACGGCTGCATCCTTTCCTTCTCTCTTGCCCCTCCCATCACCTGCCCAACAGCGTCGCCATCTACCACGGCTTCAGCCGGGCAAGCCCCTCCCCACCCAGGTCCGGCCTTCCTGAAAAGCTGACCGCTGCGTAGCCTGAACCAGACAGCTTCCCAGACGTGGGAAGCGGCGGAGGACACGGGCAAGAATAATGCTGGGTGAGAGGAGCCAGTCTTACCGCACTGGGGCACGTCACAGTACTCCCAGGTCAGCTGGCGGTCCTTCCACACGTGGCACCAGGGCTGGGCGTCCCCATCGGGATTCCTGGGTGTGAGGAGGGACGGTTTTCAATCACATCACAAGCCAGGGAAGAGGGGAAGGCGGCCCAACTGGGGGGCGTGGGAGGGCAGCCCTCCCACCTCGCCCTTTTCTCTCCTTCTGGTGCATTCACTGCGGGTGGCCAGCGGCTTCCACCTGGTGCCAGCCTCCCCATCACTGGGCTGTCTTAAGGGAGACCGTGAGGGATATTCAGGGTCAGGAAAGGCTGCCCAGTTCAGCTAGTGGGGATTGATTATTCCTGGAGCCGCTTGGAAGGCTGTTAGGGGTTTCCTTGTTTCTACCTGATAGGCTGCTGTCAGTCTGGGGGCTTCTGTGGGGGGCCATGTGTGCAGGCCCAGTTTTCTAGGATTTTGTCTGCCAGGGCCTTGAAGGATTTACTGGACTTGGGAGGGAAGCAAGAGTATGAACCTTCAAATGCTGAGTATTTGCCCCCATTTTACCCTCTTTTCTACCCATTTGAAACTGACACAGTACCCTAGCACGCACCAGTAACCTATTGAGAAGGGGTCTTTGAGATCATCAGTCCCAGTGAATCCCAGTTTATACCAGATCTAGGGGGTGGGCAGGATGCTTTAGAGTCACTCTGTGCTGTGTTCTGCTTAGCGGCTCAGTCGTGTCTGACTGTGCGACCCCATGGACTGTGGCCCGCCAGGCTCCTCTGTCCACAGCGATTCTCCAGGCAAGAATACTGGAGTGGGTTGCCGTGCCCTCCTCCAGCGTTGGAGTTACTCTAAAGAGCCCTCAAAATCACGTCTATCAGTGTCACTTGTAGGCTGAATGTGCATTTTTATACATGTATATTTAGAACTTTGAAACATATTTTTACATGATTGTGATAAATAGCATCATTATTTGGGAAAGCACCACTGAACTCATAGTGCCTTTTTGTAGCTGAGTACTTTTTAAATCTGGGAAGTTTTCTCACATTAGAAGTCTTTAGAGACAGAGCGTGATCTTGAGAAATAGGCCCACTAATCAAAAAAGAGAGAACTTGCGTGTATTCTCAAAAGGACTGGAAACCACCGGTAGAGCCCCATCTTTTCTGTCCACGAGGAAACTGGGGGTCAGCAGGGTGCAGAGATCGGCTCGAGGTCAGACAGCTAGTTAGAGGCCAAGCCTGATGAGGACCTAAGCCTCTTGGCTTCCTTCCTCTGATGCCAAAGTGACTGACCGCTTCACTCCTTTGTCTCCTCATTTGCAGAAGGACCGTCAGCCTTGTCCTCCAGATCTCCCTAGATCTCCCTTCCCCACCCCACCCCCCTGGGACTCTGTGAGGCCGCAGGGCCCTGGGGAGGCTGCACTTACCCTTAGCACAGGCTGGAGTGCTGCAGAACTCAGAGACGTATTTCCCTGCCTTGAAGATGTAGCACCAGGGCTTTGAGTCTTGGTCCGGGTTTCTGAAAAATCAGCCGGGAAGGCCAGGGTAAGTGAAGTTAAGCCTGTTTCTCAGGCCAAGGACTCTACTCTCTTCTGGGGAGAGAGTTATTTATGTTTGTTGTACCCAGGAGAGTCAGATCATGTTGGGTGGAGGTATGACCTTGTAATCGCCTTTGTTGGGAGATTAAACATGGTTTACAGAGATGCACATGGCTGCCACGTTGACAAGGGGTAGACCATGCTGGCGGGCTTTATGTGTTAACTTGGCTGAGCTATTGTGCCCAGTTGTTCGATCAAACACCAGCCTTGGTGGTGCTGGGAAGGGATGTGTCGATGTGGTTCACGTAGGTCAGCTGACTTCATCCAGTCAGTCGAAGGCATATGAAGAGCAAAAGCTGAGAAATTCTGTCTCACATTGCAGTGTCAACTTGGGTCTGAGTTTCCAGCTTGGGGAGGGGGCTGCCTACAGATTCCAGACCTGCCAGCCCCACCACGGTCGTGTGAGCCAATTCCTTAAAATGAATCTCTTTATGTAGATAGAAATATATTTACATCTATATATATATATATATATATATATGTATCTAAAGCTATATAAATAGATACATCTTTCTGGAGAAGAAATGGCAGCCCACTCCAGTATTCTTGCCTGGAGAATCCCATGGACACAGGAGCCTGATGGGCACCATCCAAGGTGTCACAAGAGTCAGACGTGACTTAGCAACCGAACCACCACGACCACGCATATCTTTGTTTCCGTGTCCGTGTACCTCCTATGGGTTCTGCTCCTCTGGAAGCCCTGGCACAGGTCTTTGCGTGACTGCCCCAGCTTCTCGCCAGAGGAAACCCTCCTGGGGGGAGGCAGCCATCTCACCTGCAGTAGTTGTGGTTCCCAAGGCCCAGCCTGACGGCGTCGGGCCTGCGCCCGCTGTAAGGCTTCATGGCCAGGCCGCTGCTGTTCCAGTTGGCGCACTCAGCCCCGCTCTCTGCTGTGCTCCACGTGCCTCTGTAGGCGACACCCTGGTCCTTATAGCACGTGGCGGTGGTGTCTGATGGGAAGCGGGACACACGACACGTCCCGTGTGAGTCCCCTTTTCATCTAGTTTTCCACGGGGGGCTCAGTGCCGCCTCCGTCACCCCTGCAGACCGCCGAGGCGGGAGCTGCTGCGGGGGGCTGGGTGTCCCCGTGGCCCGGGACAGCGCCAGGCTCCAGACTCAATCCTGGGACTCTAACCACCCCCGGGTGACCCCACCCCACCCCGACCCTTCCCTCATCACCCCACACTGTGCTCTCCTTTCTGGATCATTTTGCAGGTGGGATTTCCTGGTAGGTTCTCATCTCATAGATGCGCACCACGCACCTATTTCACAGCGCTTCCCCATGAACCCTTCTGGGCACTGGCAGACAAAGTCTGAAGAATAGACGGCCTGCCGACACGTCCCCCCGTTGAAACACCAAGGTTCACTGCAACCTGTCAAGTAGAAGAAAGGGGACCCCGAATTACTTCCCAGGCACCCTGAGAACACGAGGCAGAGTTGAAGAGGGCACCCTCCCCGCAGGCGCAGCTCTGAACACTTCACCAAAACCAAACTCGTTGACTCCTCGCAGCTGACCCCAGAGTCTATGCAACTGTTCTCCCATTTTACAGATGAGCAAAGTGAGGCCCATGGCCTTGCACCTTCACCTCGGCCTAAGGCAGAGTGTGCCTGAGGCCCTGTTGGAGGGTTGGGCGGGCTGGGGATCGTGACAGACAGGGCTCGGGCCGGGGGGCCGTGGGAATGGGCCCGAGGCTCACGGCCCGGTTTGGGTGGACACGTACTTCTGACGGGCACCGAGTGGCACTGGGCCCGGCCGCCGTTGCACCAGCAGTGCTCCACCTGATTGCTCCTGAGCAGGGGTCGCAGCCAGGACTCATGTTGGAGGTACGTCATCTGCATTTTTTCATCTCTGCAGGTCACTGTAACCACAGACAGGCCGGCCTCTTTAGGGCCCGACTCACCCCACACTGATGCCTCCCCTCTTCCATCCTGCTCACTCTCAGGAAAATCCATCCTTTATTCCTTCCTTGCTCTCAGCAGAAGACAACAAATACCCCATTTTTGTCACCAAAGACCCCTTTCATTATATAAAAAAAAAACTTTCAAATCCAGCTTATTAGGGGGATGTGCCAATATTATTTTCCATATGACTGTGTGACCTTACATTTAATTTCCCATGGAAATCAGTTATTTTCTTGAAATAAATAATAAAATGGTGTATTTCTACTGTGTCCTTATGTTAGTTTCAGTGAACCATGGAACCCACTTGAGAAAAACAATTAACAAAGACCTCTCTAATTGTTTTTCCTCTGATGGGACCTTATTTTGAAAGAATTTATTGATCAAGACACATTTATAAAGTAATACTCTGATTTTTCATTTTAATTTATCAAAAAAGAGGCACATGTTTGCAATTGCAAACTTTTGATTCACCTGAGTATTATCACACTGAGATGATGCACTTCTGGCCCCAAACAAAGAAAAGTAATATTTTAGTCTGTTCAGAAAATGTGCTACTTCCGTTAGTATTTCTGGTATAGTGAAAATAGTTGAAAGAGTCCCATTAATAGGTGTTCCCCTTTTCTCTCTCTGTTTGCAAATCAGAATGCCAGCTCAAAGAATCTGTAACTTTTAGTGGATTGGAGAAGTGACATGAGCTCACTGTCAGTGGTACTGCTGTTCTTTCAGCAGCCCGTTGGCGCCAAGACACGCGGGCAGGAAAGGCCGAGCTGTCTGACGGCGAAGGCGGTGAGAGTTAAGCCGTGACTCACTCTGGGGAAGCTTCCACCTTAAATGGGTGTTACAGAGCCTTCCAGACCCAAAGGAAGTAGGTCCTGAGGGAAGAGGGGTGATTTGGGATCTGCAGTTCTTCCTATCAGATTCAAGACACTCGGGCCTAAGCATCTTTTATTCTTGGGATCCTAGTGGAAATGGTGCATGCATTTTTAGCCTCAACTCTAGACACGGCCTTACAAAAAAGGTCTTCCCACAGCACTGCCATAAATAAAGTATAACCCAGGTTGGTCATCTCTGAATTACCAACGGAAGCAACGGAGGCACAGAGAAATTAGTTAACAGAGTGGAGTCCAGGGGGAAGGGGCTCACAGTCCAGGGAAAGGCCCTGGAGGACCCTGCGGCCTGGTGGCTGTGTGACCCTGGGCAAGTCACTCAGGCTCTCTGGGCTCTGTTCTCATCTGTATAACTGCTCTTTGGGCCACTGGGCTCCCAGCAGTGAGTGACTGCCTGGCGTCCTGACACCTTGCCAGCACACCTATTCCTATGTGAGTGATGAGAGGGCACAGGCATGTCTACAGACTCTGGCTTTCACGGAGCTTAAGTAAGCAGGTCACGTGGAAGAAAATCCCCACTGGAGCTTCAGGCACCCTGACCCTGACCCTCACCCTGCCTCCGTGGACCGCCCTCCACCCCAGCAGCGTCTCACCTCTGTACGATCTGGTGCCTCTCCTGAGTCGTCTGTAGGTTTCCTGCAAAAAAAAAGAAACCAGGGGTGGAAGAAGAGTCAGCACACACAGGTGTCTGAAGAATAAAGATGGTCAAACCAGAAGACTGCCATCAACCCACCTGTCCAGAGCACTCCTCTCAAGTAACTGGCCCAGGTGCAATGTCCACACCTGTCTTCCCCTCTGATCCTTCTTCCCTTTCTAGCCTAGTCCTGTCCAGAAGGACCTTCTGAGTGGTGAAATGTTTAATACCTGTGCTGTGCGATATGGCAGCCTCTGGTCACACGTGACAACTGAGCACTCATATGTCATGTGACCGAAGTGAATTTAAGTTTCATTTCATTTTAATTGTAGATGAAAACAGCCACCCGTGGGTTAGTGGGGATGTGTGCCCTCACCCCACCTCCTCCGTGTGACCATCCACACTCTCCCCTCTCTAAAATCCTGCTGTGTTGGGCATTGCTCACTTGGCCTGAATCATGCCCTTGGCCTGAATGATGCTCTTAGCTGCTGGGGATCTTCGGAGACCACGTCCTAACTAGATGGTACTCAATACATGGGCAGCTTGCTCACAGTGCCTGCACTTTAATAAAAACTTCACAGATTCTGACTTCCCCGGTGGCATAGTGGATAAGAATCCACCTGCCAACGCAGGTTCGATCCCTGGTCTGGGAAGATCCCCTGTGCCGCGGAGCAACCAAGCCCATGCGCCACTACTACTGAGCCCGTGCTCTGGAGCTGGGAGCTGCAGCTGCTGAAGGCTGCATGCTCTAGGGCCTGAGACCCACAACTTATGAGCATCTCTGTTGCACCTACTGAAGCTGGTGCACCTAGAGCCCATGCTTTGCAGCAAGAGATGCCACCCCACTGAGAAGCCTGTGCACTGCAGCTAGAGAGAAGCCCCCGCTCTCCAAAACTGGAGAAAGGAGAAAGCCCCAGTGCAGCAACGAAGACCCAGCATAGCCAAAAAAACTTGTAAAAAAAAAAAAAAAACTTCATGGATTCATTCAAGCAAATCCTTTAAAAACAGCTCCAAAGAAGTCACGAAGCAGTGGGGCGTACTCAAGTCAGAATGGTGCACGGGGAGAATGGTGCACGGGGTTCCCGCCGGAAGCCTGGACCTTGAGCCTCGTCCAGCAAGGGGAGCGTGTCTCTCTGTGTCCCAGCAGACACGAGCACACACCTACCTGGCTGGGCGACGTGAAGACGGCTCCGCAGAGCAGCAGCATGCACAGGAACTCTGTCTTCATGGCGTTCATCATTTCCTCGGGGTGTCCCTTAAAGTCTGGAAGAAGAGGGGGAAATAAGCGGGAGATGTGAGAGGTCCAAGCGGGCAGCAGAGTCCAGGAGCCAGGCGGTCCTCCCAGCATTGGGTCCCGGGGCAGGAGAGGCCAAGGCCAGCGTCTGGGAGATGGGGTTTTTGTTCTCACGTATACATTCATTATTGTGGCTAAATACACAGAACACAAATATTTCCCATTTTAACCACTTCTGAGTGTAAGTTCAGCGGCATTAAGTTCACTCACATTGTTGTGCAACCATCACCACCATCCAACTCCAAATGTTCATCTTCCCAGGCTGAAGCTCTGTACCCTGAAAACCTCAAATCCTTGTTGCCCTGGCAACCACCATCCTACCTACTTTTTCCATGAATCCGACTACTCCAGGTGCCTCATGTAAATGAACTTACATGATATTTGTCCTTTTGTCTCTGACTTATTTCACTGGGCATGATGTTCTCAGGTCCATCCATGCTGTAACATGGGTCAGACTTTCCTTTGTTTTTAAGGCTGGATAATATCCCACTGAGTAAATGGACCACATCTTGCTTATCCATGCATCTAGCGATGGACACGGGATGCCAGAAGACAGCTTTGTTCAGACATCTCTGTGGGCTGAAGGCTGACACCACCTCTGGCCCTGGCTGCAGCCCAGGCCGTCAGGGCACTAGCTTGGTTTCCCTTGAAGTGAGCGCCTGCCCTGGGGTTGACTAGATGGACCCACGGCAATGTCCGCTCTCTGACTTTTTTAGAGGAAATCATAGGAGATCTGGGGTTGGCACATCTCAGAGCCGGCTCTCCTCAGATGGCCTGAGCCCAGTCCCGGAGGACTTCCACGTCTCCTTGTCCAACAAAGGGAAGCCTCCTCCACCCCCGCCTCCCTGCTCCACTGGGAAGCCGGCCTCCTTTAATATTCAGGCCCTGTGAAGTGCAGTTTTGCAGAGAGGAGGGGCGGCATCTGGTTTGGGTTTTCGGACTCAAATCTCCCTGACCCCACATCCCTGGCTCCATCTGCCTGGTCCTGGCTAGGGCTCCGGCCCTCAGCCGCTCACAGTGGGTTAGTCGGTTGGGGTGTTATTTTGTGGTCTGGCAGCCTCACTTGCTCCCTCGTCGGCAAGGATTAAACCAGGGCTCTTCTTCCCTTGACTCATTTCCCCTCAGTCACAACAACTCTGCTCCCATCCCTGCCCCCCACCTTCATCCCAAGCATCGGAAGGGCCCCGCTTGGTTCGGAGCGCCCAGGACTTGGACCCCAGCGCTGGCTCGGGCTCCTTTGCCGTTAGAGTTGCTGTCCTCTCACATGGCCACAAGCCCCCTTCAGAGCAACGGTGAGAAAACAAGGAGCCAGAGGCGGGGGCAGCCGCTCTGCCCCAGTGAACTTCTGGGCCACTGGTGACAGGCAAGGCGCGCGGAGCTGTGGGAGAAGGAGGCGGGGACCGGACCATCCGGGCAGATTCCTCGGGCTCAGAGGGCATCTTGCCAACCAGCACACCCCTCCCGCTCCACACAAGAAACAGAAAGAAGCCAGGATCTGGGTCTTTGTTCCAGTTTGGCCTGCCCCCCAGGGGAGGCCCTTCCCGGGCAGGGCAGCGTGTTCTGCAGGGGCTGGGGGGTGGGGTGGGACCTTTTCTCACCCAGAGCAGGAAGCCTGCTGGCATTTGCTGCTTCCAGGCAGCTTCAGAAGGAAGACCTAGGAGTCGAGGGCATCCGAACAGGACCCGGAGTGGGGAGTCTTCAGATCACAGGCCATCACTCCTGATTTTGGTGCTTAGCAGTCCTCCAATTTCCCCTTTCTCAAAATTTCCCCAATTATCCTGGTACTTTGAATCTTCAAAAATAGCTCTTCGTAAACAATCCCCCCTCTCTCTTCCTGCTACTAATAATGTTTCACATATTTGTAGGTGTCCCAGCTTTTATTATCTCAGCCAAGCCTTGGGATGGGGAGAGGTCCGCCTGCCCAGGGCTCTTGGCAGAAATTCTGGATGAAGCAATGAACCAGCCCGAGACTGGGGAAACTGGCTCCTCTTCCTCTTGCCTGATAATCAGCCAGGCCTTCCAGCAAGTTCGTTTCCTTCAGACAGGGGGCTTGTCTTTTCTCTGGATGCCCATCATCAAGCGACTGTGTCGTTTCAAGAATTTAAGGTCCTCCTTGAATGGGGCACATTCAAGGGGCTCGTGAAGGGGCCCTACAAGGAGCAGAAGTCTAGATGCTGGAAAATTGCCAAGTGATAAGAGGAGCATTAAGGTCTTTGCATTCATTGGACAGATGGGGGGAGGGGGCCCCGTGGGGGGAAGGAGGCCTGACGGGGGTGGGGAGGGATGCACTTAGGGCTGAGGGTAAAGGATCCAACAGCTGCAGCGCCTCAGACCCTTTTGCAACTGAAGACTCAGCAGAAGGGGCGTCTTTTTGTCTTCTGCTCTGGGACAGTCGGAGCCTGTCTCTTTTCTGTCAGTCCTTATCTTCCTCCACTTTTTCTGGCCTTGCAAGGCCTGGAGCTGACCCAGGGCCAAAGAGCCTGACACAAACCATGGGACGTTCCATCCTCGCTGCAGGGAAGCGATGGGAACAGCTGGATGGGCCGAGAAGGGCGAGAGGATGACAAAGAAATGAGTCATCCTGCCTACAGTCAGCACCTTCCCGAGACAAGGAGGCAAATCTCGTCCTGGCGTTGCCTTTGTGGGGAGGGAGGTGCAGAGGTCTGGGGGCAGTGTCTGGGCGAAGAGCGAGTGACCCCGGAGATTCAGGAAGCACTCAGGACACTGGGGAGTTGTGGACCTCAACCCTGGACCACAAGTTCCCACCAAAGGGAGAGCCGCCCATGTGAGACTGGTAGGAGGGGAGATTTGAGAAATAAAGCACCAGAAGTCTCTTGCAGGCTCATTTTGTAAATCCAAAACTTGTCATCTTTTTGGTGTGTTCCTTTTCTCTTACTGTATTTAATAGTTTCCCAGAATCAAAAAACTAAAAGAGCAAAAAAAGGACTTCCCTGCGAGGGTGGGCGATGGGGTGGGGGGGTCCAGTGGTTAAGACTTTGCCTTCCAATGCCAGAGGTGCTAGTTCGATCCCTGGTCGGGGAACTAAGATCCCATAGGCCTTGTAGCCAAAAAACCAAAGCATATTGTGACAAATTCAGTAAAGACCTTAAAAAAGGTCCACATCAAAAAAACAAAAAACCAAAAGCAAGGCAGGAAAAGAGGGAGGGAGGGAGGGAGGGAGGAAAGACAAGAAAAAGAAAACCACAGGGATGGGGATGGCTGGCTTTTGTGGGACTAGAATCCCTGAGTCACCAGCAGCATATGGAATGATTCTAAGATCGCTGGTCCCCAAGGTCCCAAGGCCCCAGCCCTGGCAGGCCCACCTAGGCACATAAAGTCAATTTTTGCAGATTTGCAAAAGGCTACGTGGACAGACCTCTGGAGACCCAGAGCTCAGCAAGTTGACAGAGAATCTGTGCAGATTAGACACATCAGGACACGTCGGGGGTAAAGCGTGGCCTGGATTCGCAGGCTGTACCCGCGGGCATCCTTGTAGAGGACCAGCCTGCGATCTCCGCCTCCAGGGCGCCCCCTCCCCCCACCCCGCCATCTGCGTAGAGGCCACGCAGGGCCCTGCTGGGCTGCAGAGAAAAGTGACTCTGTTCTCCGGCCTCTGAATAGCCGTGAGTGATGACGTGACTCTGTTCTCTGGCCTCTGAATAGCCGTGAGTGATGACTGCTCTCGGGAGAACAATTGTCTGCTCCCCAGGGAGGGGGGGTGGTCTCCAGGAGCCAAAGGTGCCTTTGTGGCTGGGAAACCAATCTCGCCAGCCAGAAGCGCAGGACTCCTTTCTGTGGTGGTGGCAGGGGGAATGCTGATTGATGGGCCCTGGAGTCTGGCTGGGGCGAGGCCATGGGAACCGCAGCAGGACAGCCGGGGGAAGGGCCTGGGGGGGGGTGCAGTGGAGGGCTGTCCACAGGGTCTTTCACTGCCCTTCGCATGACCCATTCCCACCACCTGCTCCAGAAAGGCCTGCTCTCAGCAAAAGCACCGACACCCTCCTTCACATATGGTTTGACTGTATCAAAAGGAGTGTGTTGGCACTTCCCTGGGAGTCCAATGGTTAGGGTTCTGGGCTTCCCCTGCAGGGGGCATGGATTCCATCTCTGGTGGGGGAACTAAGATCTCACATGCTGTTCGCCGTAGCCAAAAAAAAAAAATAATTAATAATGTGCTGCCCTTCCAAAAAGCATCTTTGATTTGAGACATCAAATCTGCTCCCAGGGATGCAAAACCAAGTGGGCTAGACTCTCAAGGCTTCCTCCAGGGCTGACGCCTTGTGATTTCTGCTGTTCCGAGTGTGCACGTGCTGTGTGGTCTGTGAAACACCTACATGTGGGGAGGAGAGTTTTCATGTAAACACTCCACCACATCCCATAACGTGACCTACAGTAAAGATCCGGGACCAACCAGTCAAGTTCTCTGATTCTAGGTACAAACAGCACATTTGCCGGGATGTTAAAGCTGCTTCTACTCTTGGCAGCAAAAACAAGGCAGGAGCACTGAGCCAGCTGGAGGACCATGGAAATTGCAAGGGAAAGATAAAGTTCAGTTGATACGGCTATTCCATTTTTGCAAGCATGCAAGGCTTGCTCACTGAATCTTTGGCAAAGAGGAGCCTTGGTTTGTTATTACTTCACAAAGTCTCTCTCTGGAAATCTGAGTGAGAGAAAATCAGTCTCCAAGAACACCAGTACTCCAAAATGACTCACAGCTTTAAGACAAACATCACCCTCCCTCCCCCCACCCAGCCACTATGCCCTGGACGGATGCCAACAAATTAGAAAAGAGATGGTCAGAACTCCCTGAAACAGCAAAGGCCCGTCACTGAGTCAGGAGAAGAGATGTGGTGAGATGGGATGAGGAAACAGGCTTTGGAAATTGGGGCTGAACTCCCACAGAAAAGTGCACCTGTGTCTGCACTGGCGTCAGAGCCCAGGGCTGGAACCGTTAGCTCTATGGGTCACG